ATAATTAATTTAGAAAATCTTTTCAGGACCCCACCTTGATGTTTCAGGACCCCACTTTGGGTCCCGACCCCAACTTTGGGGACCACTGCCTTATTAGACAACTTTTAAAAAATCTGCTTAGTTTCTAATCACTGTTGGTATGTTCAGCACCTGCAGATTTATARGATTTTAAGTGTTAAAAAGGATTTAGTTAACTAAAGAATCAGCTTTTTCACAAGACAAAGCTTTATTTATATCCCCTCACTGAGCCATAAAATGTGAACAGCAGGAATGTAAAAAGATASAACACTCAATATCTAACATCACATTTCAGGAGACCAAAAATGTGATTACAATGTAACATAAATATGTAAACAACTTCAGCTGATCAGTAATAATTGTGCAATAAAAAAGGAAGTGACATTTTGTAACAGCTGCTCAGCAGAAAAGCAATAATTTTACAACTGAGTCGTTATTTTATGTAGAAAAATGCAATGTTTAATGGTTTTAATCCTTCAAATGTAAAGATTAGTTGAAAATTATAGATTTTTTCCTATTAAAAAGCCATTTCAATGGGAAACAAACGGGGAGACAGACATGCTTGATGTTTTGCAGATTATCAATTTTTAATTGCTTAACTTGCTTTCCGTTTAGAAAAGAAAAACACGATTTAAGAAATTAAAATGTGAATATAAATTAATGTGAGATTACTTACAGTGAATGTATCCAGTTAAGTGTATATACTAATTAATATTCATTGATTTGGTATATTTACAAAGATGAATAAACAAACAGAGATATTAGATGACAAAATTAAACACAAAAACTCGGCCAGTCTTTATATTGGATATGCTAATAGTGCCCTAACACAGCCCAGAACTGCGCAGTGAAAATATTGCATCAGCTCACCGTCCTCTGATGTATTACTGACAATACCCTAAAAAAAATAATAAAAACGCATTTTTCTTGCACCTTTTCTGTCTCTRTGTTTATGCTTGGCCATGTTGACTCACCTGGAGGACTAAAAGGACCTAAAATCGTCGGAATATTCGTCCCAAAACAAGATGCAGAAACAGCCGACGCCGCATCCGAATGAACGCCTACTTGGCAAGAGCCTACGGTTTTGGGAGCCGCTAGCACACGTGCAGGAAACGCAAAGCACGTGACTAAAAGACCGGGCGCTATTGGCTGCGGCGGGGGCGTCTGTTTGGACGGCGCGACCAATCAGAGCGCAGATTTCTCAATAAGGTTGTTCGGGAAAAGGCCGGGGTGAAACTGAACGCGCCACCTGTTTACCTTTTATCGACCCAACACGCAGCGCACGCAGGTTGCTGCATGTGACATCTTGACGGCTTCTCATGAGCTAATGTCAAAGAGTTGGTGAGGCAAGCTTGGATGCGACAAAAATGATTTCAAACGGTTTAAAGGAGGCTCCAAAACGTGCAACACTTTCTCAAAGTAATTTCTGCTCAACCATATTCACAACAAAAAYAGTTGTAACTCGTCAACAAATAGACGGTACTGAGATCTGTGGTAAAAACAAACAAAAAAATATCATGAACAAGTAGATATATTTCAATTGAACTCCTACAAAGTATAGATTGGATTAACTTCTACAGCAGGTTCACCTTTAGTCAACCCAATTCAAGATGGCTGCTTCAGCCAAACGACCATAAAGCATCAAAAYGGATATGATACATCAGCTCTACAGAGCTAAAATTTGGTGTGGTAGTAGCCGAATCATCCTAAATGCACACGYTGAGTGCAAACACTTCTGGTGTGATCACGCAATCTGAATGAGAGCTATTGTTTGCAAGGTTTGACCAAAAAGGCTTCAACCTGCAACATTTTTTGATTTTAAAATATGCATAAAACAAAATATATTGTTCAACACACTTATTTTCTGTGTTCTATTGTCTTATAAGGTTATAGGTATATCATTTTGATTATTTTAACATAAGAAATTTTTCATATGTAGTTAACTTTATGAATTTGGGCTCAATTTAGAGATTTCAGAACATATTCATGTTCATATGTCTCTATTTTACAGTTTGTGTCAATCTGGGAGTCTATATTGGAAAAGTGAACCAACGAAAACAGAAAGAGAGGACCACGTAATAATGTTAAATAACAGGCCCAAASTCAGATAAAAATACATTTAAAGATAGTGAATTTTACTATGGGTTAAACTGTGTGCCTGTAACTGAGCTAAAAAAATAAAAGAAATAAAAATAC